CAAAATAAGCACAAGAAAGTTAAATGGAGTGTGCTAGAAAATATATGTAATATAATTCTTGAAACTGTTTTTCAGAAACTCCAGGAGAATATTGTCATAAAATATGATGAAAGAAAGCCACCTCAGCTCAATTGAACCACCTATTTGTTTTATCATCTTATTGCAGAAAGTAATAAATAATAAAACTAAACTTCTTTCCATTAATCATCTGAAAGACCACTCTGCCTTCCATCAACATGGCTGATATTAACCTCCAGGAAAGTGACCCATTGAACCTTCTCTGCTGATATGAAGTGGAAAGACTATATTGAATCCATTGCTAGGTCAACTGCTAAAATGTTGCTTCAGTGTGCTGTGCGAGACAATTTTTCTCTCCAGAATTTACCTTGCATAGCTATAAGTTTACCATTCATCCATGCTCAGAATATTGCTGCCATATATGGTCCAGTGCCCCTATTATTTACTTTGATAAGATCAAAAGAAGAATCAGCAATATTATTAGTCCTGATCTGGTGGCTTGGCTTCATTTATTTGCCCGCTGTCATAAGGTTGACTCTCTGTGCCTTTTTTAAAAAATACTTTCATGGTAATTGTTTGGATGAGCTCTTTGCTATAGTATATATACTGTATGAATTTAAGTGCAGTACTAGACTGGTGGCAAAATCTCACCAATTTACAGTTGAGCTGGCTATCTGCAGCCATAAGTTCTATGCTAACAGTTTCTTTTCTTACACTTCTCATTTGTGGAACTCCCTTCTGGCTCCATGCTTTCCAGCTGATTTTAATCTGCAAAAATTTAATGTAGAATCTATGTAATTGAATGCGTATCCTCTTCCAAACAGTGACAAGATGGTCAATGTGTTTGCTCATTATAGAGTGTATAGTACCATTGATCTTCACAAAGCTTTTCAGTTTCTGTGTGAGGCTGATCAACTTTAAATACTTTCTGTGGTTGATGGTGGATTCTTACAATTCAAATTAATTTCTTTTTGTACATTATTAAAAGCTTTCATTATTTTCAACAAAAAATTAATTCAAAACATAATTTGTTAGATTGTTTTGAAATCTTACTTATTATAAAACACAGATTGTGTGTGTGTGTGTGTGTCTGTAACGTTTATATATTGGATCGGATTTCCTACATTTTTCAACCGATTTCAACAAAACTTCACAGGACTACATAAAATTACCTTGTGGTGGTTCTAACAGCGCCCAAAATGGGAAGAATATAATTGTTTTTGCACAAAATCAATTTGAAAACACAATTAAGAGACATCGTGAAAATGGAAGGGGGACAACTCACATCAGTTTGTTTGTGTGTGTGGGTTACTTTAAATATGGGAGCGGATTTCCTATATTTTTCAGCCGATAAAACAAAACTTCACTTTTTTTCTTTTTTGGCAGGTAGTGTTTCTTATTCTCTTGCACACTTTTTTCTTTATTTTTAACATTCAGAATGCTTTAAAAATTCCATTTACAACACAATTATTTATAATAAATTCTATTCAATCAGTAGACTCATAACGATTGAAAACAATGTTTTTGTTTGAGTTTGGGTTTGACCAATTCGTAAAAAAAAAAAAAAAAAAAAAAAATAATTAAGACATGTGTGTCCGTCAACCTTAAGCAATAATCTTTGTCAATTTTATTTTTCAGTCTTTATGATGGTGGATACTTGATCTATCTCTTACTGTTATATCCCTGGGCAACGCCGGGCTCTACTGCTAGTTCTTAAATAATATTGTAGTATATAAACATACAGGACAATAGCCTAGTGGATTAAAGTGTTGGTTTGTGAATTTGATGACAGTAATTTTGAGTTCAATCCCTAGGCCAGGCAGTGTATACTCAGTAGAAACAGGATGAGAAAAAAACTGAGCAGTACTAAATAAGAACTAGCCAAGATATCCCTAGACATGGTCAGTGAACAATTTACCTCCATAGATTAAATAAAGGGTCCAGTTTGAAATTACCTGATGTTTACCTGAATCAACAAGCACTGGATGAAGGCTGAAGCCAAAACATTGTGATAACAACAAAAATGAAGACAATAATCTGCATATAAATAATGTAAATAATAAATTATCATCCCAGAAATTCAAATAGAAAATATGTAAGTATAATCAAGAAGAACATAACAACTTAAAACCTTTATTGGAAGCAGCAAAAAACAATAATCTGACTCTCACTGAAAAGTGTAATTTTTCAGTGGCATCCATTGGTTTCAGAGATTAGCATATTTTATATTTTAAAATACAACCAAGTCCTCTTCTAAAATTACCAAATCCTCATAAAAAATCATTGCAAAAAGTTGTTGGTACATTTTCTTATTATGCTAAGTGAATAAGCCACTTTTATAACAAAATTAAGTCACTGAATTCAGTTATTGATTTTCCATTGAAGAACTGTAAAATTAAACTATTTGAAACTAAAAATGATTTGATTAAGGCTTCTATGTAAGCTATTCATGAGAATATTCAATTTACTGTTGAAGTTTATATATCAGATTTCTCATGGAATCAAGGTGTCTCTGTTGTCTTTCATTCATTAAAGTCAGTTGTTTCATTCTTCAGCTGAGGAAGAGACACAGGCTATAGTGAAATCCATTAATCACAGGTGACATTTTCTTCTCAGACTTTTTACTCTTATCACAGATTGAAGAAATGTAGCTTACATATCTGATCTCATTAAAATCAAGAATGATAAGAGTCGAATACTCCCTTATAGTTATGACATACACTATAGACTTGGTAAAGAGAATGTTGCTGCAGAAACATTTACTTGTGTTAATTGTGCACCAATATATTATGAAATATTGTTCTTTCTCCACTTAATCCTGTGTTATACTGGTAAGCAAAGGATGTGTCATTTTACCAAGCACAGTTCACTAAAGCCTTTCAAATGGTTATCCATAAATTTTAAAGGACTTCTTCCATTCTCCAAGTATCAGGCATACATACATAGCAGTGTTTCTTTTTTTTTCTTGAGGCAGGACTGGAATTAATTTTGCACAAAGCAAGATGGATTCTGTTTAATAGAGGAAGTCAGTTCACCTCTCCACATATGCCTGTCAACAAACAAAAACTTACCATAATAATTTGAGGCAAGGTTATTACAAGGCCAGATACTCTTCTTGATGCCCAGCTCAGACACTCACAGTAATCTAAGTGTTTTACCTAGCAAGGAAGGTTGCTATTCAAGACCCCATTATAACCTTATATATATACACACACACACACACACACACACACACACACACACACAGGGGCTTGTATAAGAAATTCATCAACCCTTTGACAGGTCTTGTTTTTCATCCTATGGAGGCAACATGTCACCCTTCTCACCAGCAGAAAACCTAGTGAGGGAGCTAGTTTAGATGCCAACCGCCTATCTATGTAGCAAGTTGTACTGGCTTACATGTTACAAGTATGTTAATAGTTACTAATGAGTACGCATGATTTTCATACCTTATCAAAAGTTTAAGTAGTTTATTCTCAATTTATGTTATACCAAGTTACATTCACTCAGATCCAAGTTTTTTGATCTCAAAAAGTTAAAACAATGTTTTTTCTCAAAACAAATTGTATCTAGTAAACTAGTTCCTACATCCTACTGACAACAGCCAAGTAGAGAGATACAATGAAATCATCTGGAAATCTGTTCTATTGCTATAAAAAAAACATAAATCTACATGTTGAGACATGGGAAAGAGTTCTCCTTGATGCACTCTCTGCTGTACATCTGAGTAATTATTCCACTTTCAATGACAATCTGCATAAGGACAACCAATTCCTTCATAGCCACAAGCTCTGGCCCAGTTCTCACAAAGAGAAATCTTTATCAAATATGATTGATTTGTTGATCAATCTCCCTAAAGCAAACACCCAATACATTCATATTTGCTGACCAGAAGATAAAGAAACTACTGTATCTATTAAACAGCTTGCATCTTCTGGTGACACCTTTTTCCAGCAGATTCCATCAATACAACAACAATCAGTAGAACCTAGAATTAATGAATTGAATAAGTCTTCTGGGGTTGTCTAAGATGCAGTTCATAGTGAAACTGATAAACCATTCAGCTGAATTTCCAATTGCACCTCCATTGGTTAAATTCTCAATTGTACTTCCTGTAGTGGAAGAACTTCCATTACATAGATCACAGCATATATATATATACACACAGAATATTTAGGCCTATAATATGGATGTGCTAAAAATTAGCAAGAGGAAATGTATTGAAATAATTTTAATTGTTTGTATGAAGATCCTGTGTAAGAGTTATTATTAAGCAGCAATTATAAATACACACTCATTTAGACACAGCTGCAAATGGCAAAAGACTGCGTAGTATTGTAATTTCTTTGTTCCATGAACATTACAATAATCAAATTTTATGGTAAATAAAAAGTTTTTCTACAGCTTTTCAATGTTCTTTCAGTCTTACTTTTAAAGGACAAAGTTTCTTGCCTTTATATTTCCTTCAACACACATAATAAAAGAGGGTTTTTGGTCATGTTTACATCTAATGTAGGCTTGAGACTGGTTTGTCAATTTCAAGGGGTGAAATTACTTTTGAAAACTGTTCTAATATTGCATGGACTGCAGATCATTTGAATTTTTACCATTATGCCTCTGATTAAAAGTTTTTTGACCATTGTCATCCATCCTTGCATCTCTACTGAGGAAATCCCATTATTCTTACACCAATTGATCATGTTTTTTTTTTTTTTGTATTCAATTTATTTTGTGATTAGTTTCTTCATCTTTTTGTTATTTTTTATCATAATTTTAGCCAATCATTTTACAACTTTCAAATTCAACTGTGAGAATTGGGATCATAGAAGTAAAGAAAAATTCAACTTACATCTCATATCATAGGAATGGAATAATGACACAATAAAAATAAATATTATTTTGTACATCTAAATGTTAAATGAATTTAAATCCTTGAATATTTCCTATGTTTTATTAAAAAAATTAAATATTTTAATATATACCTTGGAAAGTTGGGAATTAATCCATTTAGTAAAAGTTTTCTTTTGAATATCTTCTCTTTCATCTGCAAAAAATAAAAAAGATGTATCATTCATTTGAAGAAAAGAATGCTCAAAATCTTTGAAAAAATTCAATGATGTTACAGAAAGAAATTCAATGAAGATGCTTTTTCATAAAAATTTTAAAACCCTAAAATGGTAAAATGATACTTAAATTATAGAATATGAATGCCACAAAAAGATGCAAAACAAAAAAAAAACATAATTCCATAGAATATGGAGTATTTATTAAGAACAAAAGGAAAAGACTGATTTTGTTGATCAAGAAGTAACTGATAATTATTATTTTAGAATAATTACATAAATAAAATGAAAATATTCTAATGTAAGAGGGGATTGTCAAAATAGGAAAGAGAATAATCTGCAACATTTACTGGAAACAAACTGTCTGTATGAAAACAAATTGAGCAAACTGTCAAAGATAAATCGAGCATGTATACATAATCAGAAAGAGGTCTAAGAACTTCCAGAGGCTAAACAAAAAATTAAGAGTTAAGAAAATTATATACAGCTATGTAATATCTATCTTCTTATATGGCAGCTGGATAATTTCCTCACAAATGAAAATGAGACTTACTTCAAGTAAGAGAGATGAGCTTCTCCAAAAAGTTGCTGGAAATATCATGGATGAAACATGTGAGCAATGAGAAAGTTTTAAGGAAAATAGGAATGAAAAGGACACTTGTGCTTAGGATCAAAAAGAGACAAGTGAAATTTCTGGGACACCTAATGAGGCAAGGAGGACTTAGAGAATTTAACACACAGGATATATTGAAGGAAAGAGGGGCAGAGGGAAACCAGGACTTGCCTATCAAGCAAGTTTATATAAATGCAGGGATGTGTTTAAACATTAGCACCACGGAAAAATGCTACAGTGTTCGTGTTTAATGCTGCATGGCCCTTAAAACACAAGCCACGTTCATGGCAAATTTTATGTCCACAGCAACTTTGCCCTTAACTTAAGGATTGTTTTTTTTCTTTAAATTGTGAATAAAAACTGTTACGTTTTTCTTAACAAGGTGTTCATGGGGGTTTTCCAAGAAAAAATTTGACTAGAGCCATATGCAGATATATTTTCAAAGAGGTAGATGAAAGGAATTTCAACAAATGTTATAAGTTCATTCATTTCAATCTCGCAACATTTATGTTTAGTGAAAATGAAATAAACATCATATGTAAAGACACACATTACATAGTAAATTTAAAACAGCAATACTTAAATAGATTGGTCCTCTCAAAAAGGAAAGAAAACTAAAGCCAAGGACCAGTTTTTGATGTTGTATTTATATTGTAAACATGACTCACCCACCCCAATAATCTAAAATAATAAAAAAATTAATGATTTTCGATTCTGACAAATTGCTTTAGAGGAAGTTCTTATGAATACTAGGCAACAAAAATTAGCAGTGAAAATATTTTTATCTATAAAGAAATTACTAATTAATATTCATATCAGAAAGTAAAGGATCATTTTGACATTTACTGTACATAATTTTTTTGTTTTTTTGTTTCAATAGTTATTTTGATTTTATGTTAAAAAAGCTATTTTTATACAGTAATACAACAATCTCATTCTTTCCACAACATATTCTAAAGCTAATAATGTAATGTTTGATTTCTTTTTTGAAAATGTTCCACTACAATGTATCATTGCTAATAATTCTAGCCTTCATAATCTATGTTATTTGTCAATAAAAAAATATTTGATTTTAAAGCTTTTTGTTTATTTTTACCAATTTTTTTTTTAAAGATTTCACATTAATATTACTTTTTACAAATAAAAAAAACAAATTTTGCAAATTAAAAAAAAATTGTTGTGGTGCGATTACTCATTGCAGTGGTGTCCTCATTTTTAAGAGGTAATTTTTGCTTGCCCCAATCTTAGGCTAAACTCATCCCTGTAAATGAATGGTAGAACAAGGGCTGGGAGGGATGGTAATGAAACAAATGTTACTTAGACCTACAAAGGAAGCTGTGAAGTGCCATGATAGCCCCCCCCCCAATCCTGATGGGACATGATATACAAAAGAAGAATGCTTATTATTTCTATACTAGTGTACCTATGCTGTCAAAAATGATGGCTTATTTTTTATCCACTGCAGTTATATTGTTGATAATTGGCATCAGTGAACAGAAGATTATTTACTCTATGAACTTTGTTTTGTGCAATTCTCAGAGCACCAGTATTCTCATTTTTCCTTCTGTTGAATTGCTTTTCTGTTTCTTGTCAAAGACGTTCTTCCATCAATTTCTCATATTTTTTTTTTCTTTTTGTGTTAGATTCTTCTTCTGTTTCATTTGAAATCCTTTCAGGTACGCTTTCTTTCACAGCAGCTATTCTTGCATTAGCTTCTTCCTGTTTCATATTGTTTTCTTTGTGCTGCTCTCTCTCTCCCTCTCTCCCTCTCTCTCAGAGGTCTGCTCTATTCACATTACTCTCTTCTTCTGTCTCATTAGTTCACTTCTGAATCTCACATCTACTCTTATTGCTTCACAACTTCTTACAATGCCTGTGAACATCAGCCTCCTGTTGTGCCTGTATCTGATCCTGAGATCAGTGCAATCACTGCCTTCATTTTCACTCTCATTCTAATCTCCTTTCTTCAAGGGAATTTTACATTTTATGATGTTCACTGGACAAAATTTTCTTAAATGCACAAAGCAATGTAAAATATAAAAAATTATTTAAATTCTATATTTATAAAGCAAGTTTGTGTTGAATCTTGTATACCAATGCAAGACTAAAATGTATTTAAATAATATGAGAACTTGTAATTACATATACAATATTAATACTTAGCTAAAGCCTGGGCTACCTTAAATAAAATGGATGTAATCTGGAAATCTGATCTACCAGACAACCCCAAGTGGAGACTCTTTCGAGTCACTGTAAAGGCAGTGTTAATGTATGGTATTAACAGTCTAAGCTTGATGGAATCTACACTCACAAACTGAGAGCTATACTTAACATCTCTTGGAGACAACATCCATCTAAATCACAGCTCTATGAATACATCCTTGATATTTCTACAATCAATGTTATGACCCAGAATGCCTCCTTAATGACCTTCCAACCTTGATACAGGACCATGATGACTGATATGATAGACTCATGAATGTAGGGGCTAACTCGACTGAATGAAAATAATACTAAATTTATCTTTTTAATAGTTATTCAATTATATATTTACAAGATAAAAGTATGTTGAATTTAGGGTACCATAATTCACATATTTAGATAAAATATATAATGATTGATGCATTTTCTACAGTAACATTAATAAACTCCCTTTGATATATTTGTTTGAAAGTAATGAAGTGGAGGGATTATATTGAATCAATTGCTAGAAAAGTTAGTTCACTGTATCCTGCTAGACAATTTTTCTCTTTGCATCTTTAAGTTTACCATTTGTCCATGCATTGAATATTGCTGTCACATCTGGCCTGGTGCTTCTGCTAGATATCTAGAGATTCTTGACAGACTCCAAAGAAGAATCTGCAATGTTATTGGTCCTGGCTTAGTATCACAGCTTTAATCAATTTCCCACTATTGTAATGTAGCTTCCCTGTGCCTGTTCTATTTTTATGGAAATTGTTCTGATGAACTTTCCTCTTTGCTACCTCGGCTTCATGAATTTAAGCCCAATACTAGATTGGTAACTAAGTCTCATCCTTTTATTGTTGAAATTGCTAGATGTAACTGAAATGCTAATAGTTTCTTGCTTGTGGAACTCTCTTCTGGCTTCTTGCTTTTCTGTCAACTATCTTCAAAAATTTAAATATATCATCATCATCATCATCTTCTGTCACTTTGAATCCTGGTCTTTTATTGTCCTCTCTCTCAATAACATTTTCTCAGTTTCTTTCATTTTCAGTAGCCTTAGTGGTTTTACTACCTTGCTTGGGGTGAAATGATAAAAAAAATTAATCAGACTGAACATTATACAGTGAAAATATGTAATTAAAATTCAGCCTATAACTGTGTCAATCTATGAACATTGATCCATTCTTATAGATAAAAACTATAAAAATACAAAATATGTCCATAGTTGCATGCAGACACAAGCTAACAAATTATGTTCAATAGAAATTGTGAGAGTTCTGAAAACGATGTATGGATCATGATTTAAAGAAAATCCATGACAATGTCAAGCATGTATGCTGTCTAAAAATGTTTTTACTCCTTTTTATGTAAAAGGTCAGTCTCAGATAATGAGCAGAAAGATACATAATGTCAAATAAACAGTCAAATAAGAGATGTTAATAAATAAACAACAGAATATTTCTGTTCTCAAACATGAGCAAATAGTTTTGTTCCATTATATTCCATAGCAAAATAGCATAAATAAGATTCTCATCTTGTTCTGCATTGATAAATAAACATTTTCATTGATACTTTCTTTGCTTTTTACCAAGAAACTTAAAAAATAGGGTTTAATGAACATCTACCTTAATTGGACAATAAAGAATTTAGCAGAAAAACCCAAAAAATAAAATTAATTATTCATGTATTCAAAACAATAATTAACACAAGAGAGTATGTGAAAGCAAATATTAGAAGGAGGATATATATATATATATATATATCAATAACTGTAAAATCAAATCACCATTGATTATTCTATCAGTAGAAATTATTATTTTCACTTATATTGGCTCAAATTTATAATCTAAAACGGTTGAAGGTAGTTTTGTAGCAGATATTAATTTTTCTTATAAACATTTTTAAAGTTTATTTTTTAAATTTTTATTTTCAAAAATACCCTTTAACTCCAGTACATTGAAAAAAACCTAAGGGGAATGCCTGAAAATCCTAATTCAAATGTAGTATCAAACACAATCTAATATAAAACTGCATTTTTTTTAGTCAAACAAGCAAGTCTTATTATCAAACAGTTATTCTACAAATGATCAATTTATTTTTCAAATTGTTTTTAACTAATTTTTCTTATCAGTAAGCCATAATAATTGGGTATTTGAATACCAAAATCAAAGAAGTCAGGCTTGCCAAATCTCATTCATATTGAAAATACATA